CAAAGCATGTTGAGGAACCCGCACAACATCCCGCACCTGTGGAGAAAGCACTGCTTGAGGCAAGACCACAAGTGGAAGCAGCAGTAGAAGCACCGAACAACAAGCAGCCGCAGACAGAGCCTGTGGGACAGCCACAACAGCCAGGACATATGGCAGTGGAAGCAAAAGCTGGAGCACTACAGGTCCAGCAGCACCAGCAGCAGCTGCAAGGAACAACACAGCCTACACAGCTTGATGAGGAAGCATCGCAGAACCCAGGAACAGCAGTGATACCAGCATCAGCAAAGCACATGCCACAGCCAGAGCTGATACCAAAACCAGCCAGCGACCAGCACACTCCACAGATAGATGTGAAGGAAGAAGATAAAGATGAAGATTCACTTGAACATGCTCTTGCCATCCTCATGGATGAGGAAGCCGCAGAAGAGCCTCCACTGCAGGAGGGCCATGGCAGCCAGACAGACCAAAGCAAAGAGTCAAAGAAGGAAAAGAAGAAAGACAAGAAGGACAAGCAAGAGAAGTCAGAGAAGAAGGAGAAAAAACACAAGAAAGACAAAGACCATGACAAGCATCACCGTGACCACAAGCATAAGGGGGATGGTCAGCACAAGAAAAAGGAGAAGAAGCACAAGCTTGAGCAATCAGATCACAAGCAAGAGAAACACAACCATGCGGCAAACGATGCACCTCCGAAGAGGAGACGAGCAACCACAGCCCAGGAGCACCAGCCAGCTGATGACAATGATGCTTCACCAGTCGCAAATCCTGCGGTCACCAAGCTGCTGCAAAACTTTCAACAGGATCTTGCAAAGTTAGACCTTTCCCAGGCTGAGGCACAGTCCGCACCCCCAATTCTTGACTTGGCAAATTGTGTATCTCTTGATGATATGGCGCAAAAATGCCAGGCAATAATTGAGATGGATCAAGCCCATGCAGGCACAGGTCATGAACCTGAACCAACCGCTGATGACAAAGCCCTCCCCAATGCTGCCAAGATCACCACCCAGATGCTTGTGGGAGAATTGAAGAGTGCGCTTGCCAAAGCCAAGCCCACTGCATCAGCAGCAGTGGAACCCGCAACAACACCAGAGACTGTTTCAGCACAAGCAAAAGCATCCAGTTCCAAGCCTACAGCAGCAGCCAAGAGCGCAACAAAAGCGGCAGCCAAGAAAGCAGCATCAGCAGCAGCCAAGAGAGAAGCAAAAGCAGCAGCAAAGCCAAAACCAAAAGCGACACCAAAGCCAAAACCACAAGCCACACCAAAGCCAAAGACCAGTTCAAGACGTGGCATGAAGAGGCCTGCTGCAGTGCCAATCCCATGCATCCAAAAGCTTCTCGAAAGGTCCGAAGAACGTGAGCAAGAAATGTTCTGAGCGATTTAGCTGTTTTGTAGAGCCCCGTCAGCTCCTATTCTACACAAACACTATACTGTTTTTCTTTGTTCATTGCACCAAACAACATAATTAGATATAATTATTGTATCAACTGATATGTTGATTTTAGCCATTGGAATTGGAGCGGAGCTGCAAAATGGCATCCTTGCACATGACTGACACACAAAAAGATGTTGTCAAGCTAGTGACTGAATTTACGAGTAGGTAGAAATTCGTGTCGAGAAATGACACTGATGCTAAAAGTTGAAGTTAGGATTGGGCTGACAAACACAGCAACATGTTCCAGCCGCCCAGCCACTTGGTCTTAAGGTACTTTGTTTCTATGTGTTGATTCTTGTTGAAAGACAACATCTCTGCATCCAATGACATGATATCCAATATGTCTCTGTAAAGGATGGTGGCTGATATGATTGCTTGTGCACTGACTGCAAAACGCAGTGTGGTGTTTGCGTTCAGCTAGTTGGTGCAGCTCGAGGCAGGCCCAATGGAAAAAGGCAGGACAGGCTTTGTGCTCTCATGTTTTTGTGAGAGTTGTGCCTTGGAGAGGGCCCTACCTCCCAAACATGTAACTTTGTGTTGCAGGCAAGTTAAGAGCTATGGACACATCCCCAACTCCTTATGTACAAGAGCCATGCCTTAAATACAATCTGCCCACTTAATAAAGAAATCCCACACTGTCAAACTCCATCTTCAATCTCATGCCATCACATAGATTGGGGGGAGAACATCTTCTGGAGACGATCACATACATTCGCCCGCTTTCCGTCAATTATGGAGCAGCTTCTTGGGTCGTACTTCCTCCACTCCTTCTAGATCCGGATCGCTCCGGCTCTGAGTCTGGCACTCCACCCAGCAGGGCGCACACATGCGCGGGCTTCATGGGATCCTCCTGGGTGAGTCGACCGGTCTGGTTTTGGTTGAAACATGCCGGAACGGATCCGGAACGGATCCCAAAATATCTCTCTTAGTTACTTGATTGATTTCAGCATCTCGTCGCAGCCGTCAGTTGATGTTCTTGGGTGAAATACTTTATGGGCTAGTATTGACAGCCACAAACTTATACTCTTTTCACGCACCAACCTCGCAGCAATTTGACCTCGCCAAGCGCGGGTCCAGCGCTCCACTGTACTTGAGGTTGACCTGCTCCACTGCCAGCCAGAGGTTACGGTTACCTGCGGGTCACGGAGTTCATATTGTGTCAGCCAATGCCCAGCTTTCTCCAAATCTGACCTGAGGTCTTCTTCCGATGACCCAAGCAACTGCCATTGCTCCTGGGTTGTGTGGCACAGGCGTCTTACTGCCCAGGACCAGCAGGACCTTTTGCAAAGCCTCTTGTTCAAGGCCCATGGCGGCACACAGCAGAAAATCACCCTTCTCAATGGAAGAAACAAAAATGTCCAAACTGTTCAAGTCCTCTTCCTCTGTCGAATAGTTCCTCACTGCTCTTGTTCCATCTTTCACGAAAAGTCCTTGGAGCTCCTGATCTGTGGCATCAGCGGAGACCACTTCTTTAGAGTCAGGGCCAAAAAAGCAAATCTCGGCCTGTGGCGAAGCCTTGAGGGTCATACACAAAACCGAGACATCAGCCTTCAGCTTTTTGGGCGCCCAGGTTGCATCACCCCATGTCTTTTGCAGCTCCCAACCTTTTTGTGAACCATTGTGGTTGCGCTGAGTGCCTGATGGTTTGTAGTGGCTCCAGGCCTCATTTTTGGCAATTTCTTCACACCCCGAGCCGCTCTTGTTCTCACTTCCGCCTCGCCAAGCGTCATTGCCTTCCTGCCAGGGGTCGTTCCTGCCTTGCCAAGGGTCAGAACTGCCTGAAGGCTGAGCTTGGTCCCCACCAGCGGAGATCAACTCTTCCACCAAGTTCCTCTGCAACAAAGCTGTGGCAGCCTCTAGCATGTCAAACCAGGACTTGAGAAAATACCTTGTAGCATCCATGACTGCAGTGATGGCTTCCTGGGACGTCTCCTTCAGCACCTTCCCACTCTCATCTTCGAAGTAGATGGCACCATCTTGACCCAGGCTGAAGCCCCTGAGGCTGCTTTCGTCAAACATGTTCCTCTCCATCTTGTTCCACCGCTCCGGATCTTTCTTCACCCACAGCAAATAGGAATGATAATCTGAGAGAAACGACTGCATGTACTCCTCATCTTGGTCTCGGCTGGGCCATCCAAATCCTTTCTGCAAGCAGCGTGTCCAAGGCTTCACCCCGGCATTGCCCGAGAAGTGGACGATGCGCACGGTCTGGTAGTTTTGACACACCACCAGCCGTTCGGCATCAGTTAGCCGTGGGTCCAAGGCATTGTACATGTGGTGCACCTGGAAATTGTGTTCCACTGAAATGTGCCTCCATGGCCGATCAGCATAAAAGCGGCTCAAATAGTCCTGCTCTGGACCGTTTCCACGGACATGGCCAGGATGCCATGGCTCCCTCAATTCTGCCTGCATTTGGTGGAAGTCGGCCATGTTGGGCGCAAGCAACATCACACCCGCATTGATTCCGGTGCCCTGCCCCCAAGAATGCGTCTTGTCGGGCTTGCATCCAGAAAAGAATGTGGTTCCATCAATGTCATCACCATGCTTGTAGGGCCATTTGCCGCAGTTCATGCCCCGTTTCAGGGCCGCGGGGGCTGGTATGTCAAACAGTTTGTCAACGCTTGACAGGACCAGTAAATCAATGTCCATGACCAAAACCTTCTCAAAATCCACCTGCTGCAGGGCCCTGAGCTTAGTGAAGACTTTGGAGAATCGTGACTCTTCGACGCGATCATCTGTGCTCAGCCGCTTGGCAGCCGCCACCTCGATGTGCTCCACCACTCGGCAATCCCAGAAGATCTGCAGCAGCTTCACGTGCTCCGGAGACACATCTTCAGTGTGCAAGCAAACGAGGGAATGTTTGGTTCTCGTCCTCTTGATGGAGAAGCCTAGGACCAGTGCTCCGAGGACGTAGTCCTTTGACGATCCCCATAAGCAGATCAAGAAAGCATAACGTCCACGTGCGCTCGTTCCAACGTCCTGCCGCGCGGACCTGGTTCCATCAGCCACCCGGACCTCTAGAGGTCGCTTGCAAACAGAGCAAAAGCCGCTCCAACCCTGACCATCTCTAGAGGGCTGCATGAGTTTCTCAATGCTTCCTTCAAGGCATGATGTCAGCTGCAAGCACGATTTCAAGCCGGGTGCATCTTGCAGCCCATCTTCCGCAGCAAAAGCAGGTACAGGACGCCTCCTTCGGGTTGAGCCCCAATTTTCAGGGCGAGCTGGTCCATAGCCCAAGGCCCTCTTCCCTGCTGCAATTGAGAACATGATAAAGAGCCATGAAAGGAAAATGTTCCTGACAGCTGTGTCGACACGGCTGAAAAACCACTTCCGGATCAATGAAAGCAAGCGGCCCATGGCATCAAACCCGTGGCCGCCTGCCTTTGCGAGGCCCCCACAAACCGATGGAGGAACTGAGGGGTTTTACAGATCCGATAGACGATAAGTTAAGGTACCTTGCCACTGCGTAAACCTTTGTGGTTGAAAAGCTCTGGCGTTTCCTCTGCATATAAGATCATATAAGTTGGATATTGTTCTGAAATATATAGATGAACATGATTGCAGCCATGCGATCTCAAATTGCCATGTCCGATATGAATGCATCAATTCACATATTTGCACACCTTTCGAATCAATTTGATACCTTGTCCAAAGATGATTACCAGCGTTTGTACACGACCACAAAGGCCTGTGAGTGCGAATCCAGCGGGCCAGCCAGGTGAAGAACTTGAAACTGAAACAAATAGCTACTAGGAGCGTCCTTGCTCCTAGTAGCGATGCCAGGAGCCCCTAGTAGCTTCT